TGCACCCCACTTACAGGGCAGTTCTGCTCTGTGCAACTACACTGGGAAATGGCAAACAGATGGAACAGACAAAACCAAAACCCTGAGGCTTTTCTGCTGCCTTTGTATTCCTCGAGGGCTCAGCCCTGGTTTCATCCCCTGTCCAAGGCACCATCACCACAGTGTGCTGAAACCTGTGAGGTGCAGCTGGGGTAGCAATCACCCAAAACCCAGGGAGATGGTGTATGTCAGGGATGGCTGGCCCAGAGCACAGCAGTGGGAAGCATCTGCTTCCAGGTGCATGAGTAAGAGGAATGGAACAGGAGAATTCCAACCTTCCTCTTTACACTCTCATGGGAGATGATTGCCATGGCTGAAGTGATTTAAAGGGTAACCATGCTCCCCAGAGCAGACCCATTTACATGGACTCTTCTGTAGACAGCTTTCCTTTTTCCTTTCTCTCAGGGCAGCAGGCAGGATAACAGGATGGGCTTTTGCTCTTCCCCAGAAGCACTCTGCCTGGGCAGTGCTGAAAGCTGGTAGAAATCTCGTCCAAGTCCCATTTGGTAACTCCAAGATTGAGAGAAATCATTAACAAGGAGATTTTCCAACCCACATTTGCATGTAGGAGTGTCCCTGTGGGAATTACCAGGAACAGGGTGACCCTGACTGGTTCCCTGTGAGGAGGCTGTGCCCCAGAGAATGAGGGCAGGGACAGGACTTTGGGAAACTTCCTTGGCTTGGCTATGTATTTTCTGGTTGCCTCTAACCCAGCAAGCAGACATTGTGATAGGCACTTGGTTGGAAGATGCTGCAAACATCTGGGACATAGGGAATGGGCTCATCTGGTAGTGAAGGAACAAAGTCCCATTTAAGGGATGAGAACATTGCAGTGGGGAAGCTCAGTAAGTAAGTAAGAGCCCAGGCCCTGCCAACTCATCAGTCACGTTATCAGGCTGCAATCAGATGCCTCAGCTGCTCCTTTCCCAGCACAGGACGCTCATCCAGGCATTGAGTCCTCTTGCTGTGGACTCCTGGCATCAAACAGAGCCATTAAGCACAAGGAAAAGGAACATTGCCCAGGCCAGGCTATGGTGAGACAACTGATCCATCATTCACCTGGATGGAGCAGGCTGTGCTTTTGAGAGAGCAGAGGTGCATTTCCTTGCTGGGTCAGGCAGGATGGGCTGGTGCTGCTCATGGTGAGTGCCTCCTCCCAGCCCTTGGCTCTGAGAGCTGCTGGGCAGCACTGGGGAGTGTCAGGGGCTGGCAGGGCCGAGGGCAGGGATGTCCCTTTGCTCCCTCTGCAGCCTTAATGGCTGAGCAGAGAGGAGAGGAAATCTGCTGGGCTGAATCCACACCACAGACCTTGGCTGTCTTCAGGCAGTATCATCCCTCCATTTGTGTGCTTGCTAAATAATTGAGCAGATTTTCTATTAAGCCTCTTTCAAAGTGAGCTAATGGAGCAGCGTTGGCCAGAGCTGGTGTCAGGATCCTGGCGAGAGCGAGTGGCAGAGGAAGGGGCGAGGCCCAGAGGTGAGGCTGTGGTCCCCTGTGTGTGAGTGCATGCTGTAATTAGGACTGGCTGTGTGGGAAGTGAGGGGCCATCCCAGAGTGGAAATGAGCTGGGTTGTGTCAGGGCAGGCCACTGCTCTGCTCTTCCATCCCCTCCGAGGCAGGGAGGTGATGCTGTCAGGGTGAGGAGAGGGTTGGGACACATGCAAGGAGCCAGAGTACCAGTCTGTACAGGACAAGTCCTAAAGAGCCTTCAAGGTGCATCTCCCAAGGACTTCTGCATGAAGAATGGAGAAGACAGAAGGAAAAACACTGTGCTCACCAGGATCATGGTGGTGCAAGCCATCAGAGCACAGGACAGGGATCCTGGACCAGAAACAACCATGCTGAGCCAGTGGGATGCTGAGCAGGAGCCCGTGGGACCTGCCAGGAGCAGCACTGGGCTGTTGTGATGTTGGGATATTTCTGTCTGGTTCTCCACATTCCTCTCCTTTGCAAACTATGAATGAGTGCAGAGAGATGGGCTGGGAGGAGGCAGAGGAGTTCCTGGGGTAGAAGCAACACACCAGGGAGCAGAAAGGTAAAGAGGCACAAGACTGGGTGGGAGAGGAAGGATAAAAAGACTGCTCAGTTGCTAAATTGTTTCGGGATCACCTCCACTGGAAAGATCAGAAGATCTCAGTCTGCAGATTCCTAATCAGCCTGGCCACCCACCTGTGTGCTCAAGTGCTGCTGGGACCCTGGGGGCTTGGCTGGACCCGTGGACATGGCAGTTTTCTGCATAGTTCCCATAAGACTTTAATTACTGATCCCTTAAACACTAATGCTCCCTCAACAGTGTTGGTGAGCAAGCTGTGGTGGAAGGAGGGGCAGGAGTAGGTGTTTCATGAACCATACAGTCTAAAGGAATCCTTGGTACCTTGCTCTAAAAACTCAGAAAATGGGTGGTCCTGCAGATTTGCGGTGTGTAACATCGGGGTGAATGTGAGCCAGAGCACAGAAGAATTACTAGCTCTGGCCTAGGTTTTATGGTTAAAAAAGGAGTGTGGTCAGTGTTTTTACAAGCTGCCAACTCCAAGTGCTGCATCCTGAGTGATGGGACTGCCAGGGCTGGATTCTCCCAGCCCCTTGGGGCTGTCAGGCACATGCTGGGAGGCAGGAGCCAGCACCTGGCTTTGCTGTTTTGAGCTCTCTGGAAAACTGTGGGCATCGTAAGGAAAGGATCTGGGCCCTGCCGTGTCCACCCTTGGTGACAGGAGAACATGATGGGACGGGCAGTTGGTGCAGCCCTGTTGTCCTGGCTGAGGTGTGAAGTGCCAGAGGAGACAGGAGTCAGTGTTGGACACTGGTCACCAAAGCCAGGCCTTATCCCCACACACACACTGGCACAGGTCCCTGTGTGCCAGGGCCAGTGAGCTTTGTGCTGAACCATTACTGTGCCCTGCAGAGTCAAGGAGCAGGAGGGAGGTTTGGCAGGGAGCCAGGGGTGTAATGGTGGAGATGGCTGCCAGGAGAGGACAGTGTATTCCTTGGGGAACATCCATTAGGTTTCCCAGCTCCTGCTTGTCAGAGAGGCTTTGCTCCTGGCTGTTTTTCCTTGCTGAGATGTTCTGCCTTTCAGGCTGCTTAATGAACTGCTTCTTCAAACAGCCTCCCAGCACTCATTGGATCAGCAGTGTGGTGGTGCAGGATCCTTTCTCAGCATCAGGAACGTGTGAAAAGGAGCAGCAGGACTTTCCTGGGTGGAGGCAGAGGGATGCCTTGAGGGCAGCATGGATACAAATCTCAGAGCAGGTCCCTGGAGAGCAAGCCTCAGCTTTCCTGCAGGGATAGGAGAATTGCAGCCAGCCTAGGAGAGCTCTCCTGGGCTTTTTCTGGCTGATGTGTCCCTGGAAAGGCCACAGGAAGCTTTTCTTACACTCCCTGAGCTTTCCCCAGTCTTCAGTCATTATCCTGAGCTGAGGATACAGGTTTGCAGGAACACTAATGCCTGGGAAGCTGGTATTGGCAGTGGGGGAGGGGAAGATTGTTGGGGAGACAGACAAGAATGGTGATGATGGGTGGGTACACCCACGCCTGGTGCTGGGTCCCAGAGCAGCACTTGATCTTTCCTTCTGAAGGAAGATGTGCTTAGATGTGCTTAGATGCTCTGGCACGGGCTTGGCACTGTCTCAGGTCAGTGCCCTTGTCTGGCTGGGACCTGGGTGCAGTCAGCTGGGTCACTTCTCTTTCCCAGACATTCCCAGGTTAAATTCAAACCTTCCTTCCCATGGGATCCCAGCCTTGGTGCAAAGCCAGGGGTGATGGCAGCACCTCAGCTCCACCCTCAAGGTGCTGCTCACCTCTGTGTCCGACACCGACGCACCTCGGCAGCCCCTGGCACCCGCGGTGCGGCTGGCACGGCGTCCTGGGCCCGTCGGGGCACGGCGCTAACGCGAAGTGACAGGGCCAGCGGTGGCAGGCGTGGGGCAGTGAGGGCACAGCCAGCGGGGGCTGTCGCTGTACATCCGTCACCTCCGCCAGCCACGGGGCACGGACCGCACGGAGCTGCACAAAGTCACTGTCGGGAGGCCAGGCTGCCTCAGGAGAGCTGCTCACCCTCCTTGGATGGGGGGGCAGGGCAGTATTGACAATTTATTTGGGCACAAAGTTGAGTTTTTGCTGGGGAAAAAAGCTGCTTGTTTCCTAGCCAGAGAAGTTGAAAGGATGTGTGTAGTGTGGTCTCAATGCCACAGGATTCTTCCCCTCCTGCCAGTCACAGGGCTGCCAGCAGCTCTTGGGACCAGGGCACTCAGCCATGGGAGGGGGCTGCAGGTCTCTGAAGGTCCCCTCCTGGTCCCCATGATGTCTGAGCTGTGCTCCTGCCCACAGCTGGTAGCCCCAGCCTCCCCTGTGCTGCATGTGATGGCCACATGCTCCTGCTCCAGCTCCAGCTGTGGATAGGATACTGGTGACTGGCAGATGGGTAATATACCCTTATCCCTCTGTGGGATCTGAGAGGCATTTTGTGGGGGCAGAACCTCTCCCTGTTTCAGGAAGAGGCAAGGGTGAGTGCCAGGGAAGGCAGCACAGGTGAAATGAGTGGGGGGCTCCATCTGCAGGGAGCACCAGGGCTTTGCCAAAGGCAGTGCCAGTCCCATCCCTAGAGGTATCTTTACCTTGCATCTAAACCCTGCTTGTTCCTTTCGGGGTCTGGATGTGTCCTCATGTCAGTCAGTGCTGCTCCTTCCCCAGCTCCCAGGCATCATTTCGGGGACCTGCACTCCCAAGGACAAACCACTGGATGTTTCTCTCTCACCAGCAGCAGACCACCAGCACATTTAACCCCCTTGCTGAGGCCACCTAAAGGTCATTTGATGGGAGCAGAGGCTGCCAGTCCAGTGCAGATTGCCTGGCTCCGTGTGTTGGGCCTGCAGGAATTCAGGGCTCCCTCAGACCTCAGCCTCCCACCACTGTGCCCGTGAGCTGCACATTGCTCCAAGGGCAAGGAGACACTCAGCCCAGTGTGAGCTTAAAAAATAGGCATTTTTATTCCAATGGAACTAGAGAATTACGACCCAGGAGAGGGGAGGATTACTCACATTTATCGATAGGCTGATTAGGTTACTGCCTAAATAGCTGTGCTTGAGCAGCGCGTGTCCGCCTCAAGGAGAAGCAGCGAAGGAGCGCGTGGTGCATCGGAGACCTCAGTGTCCTTGGTGGCATGGCGAGCTCTGAGCAATGCAGGCTGGGGCGCTGTGTCTCATCACCTAATCCTGCCTTGACGATTTACAGCTTCTCGGGAAGCAAAAGCTTGTAAGGTTTGCTTGGCTGTGTGGCTGGTCAGACGCTGAGCTCCATCCCTCCTGCATGGCCAGTTTGGGGGGGGGGGGTGTGAGGGTGTGTACCCCCCGTTTGTGACAGAGTCCCAGTCTCCTGCTCCCAGCCATGACATGCTGATGGCAACCGGTGTGTGCTGGGAGAGGACAGTGGCATCACCATTCCTGAGGACCCTGGCATGAGCCAGAACAGTGTCTCACTTGTCACAACTATTCCTTGGCCTGGGGCGGGGGTCTGTGGACATGACAGACCCCCAGACCTGGTGTCACATTAGGGAGGATAGGTGCCCAAATGAAGGGGTGTTTCTCCAGCATGCTGGGTTCTTCAGCGTTACCCGTGTGCTAACAAGCCGTTGTCAGCAGATTATGCAAGGCGTTCTTGCTGGGCACCAATGTGCCCATAGCCCAAAACCCACCAGGAGCCCGTGGCTGAAGCGGTTGTGGGTGGTGTCAGTCGCTCCTGTGGGTCATGGTCAAGCCAGGAACTCGGGATGCCCAGTAATCCTGGTCTAGCAGCGATGGAGGAGGCCTCAGCTCTCCTCCTAGCTCTGTCCCACTAAGATACAATGGGGGTATCAGAAAAGACAGAGCTGATGGACTCTGAGTCCGACTTGAGCTGCAGGACCTTGGGGTGCTTGGGGTCGGGGAAGTCCTCACCGAGGGCCAGGCGGATCTTGCCGTTCTGTGTCTCCCTGATGGGCTCGAGGAAGACGACGTGTTTGTTGGCGCTGGCCTTGCGGTTTGGCCCATCGGTGGCAGGGGGAGTGGTGCTGAGGATGGAGGACTGGGCGCTGCACTCCTGCGGGGGGCTGAGCGGGGCCGGCTTCTTGCAGCAGCTCAGGCAGCGGCACGGCGTGAGGTACAAGTAGATGATCACCAGCACCAGGCTCACAATGCAGCCCAGCAGGGTCGTGAGGCCAGTGCTGAAGGTCTCCCCAGCTGCCTTGGGGTAGAGGACGGTCATGTTGAACTCGCACATCCTGCTGAAGTTGTAGGGGCTGTTCATGGCCAAGCCTACGTAGACCCCCGAGAGCCAGGGCTTGGCTGCGGCGATCCTCAGGCTGCCGTTGCGATAGAGCTCCAGGGAGCGATTGCTGTTCCCTGGGTGTTTGATGGGCTCGTGGTGAGGGGTGATCCACATGTAGGTGGTGGCAGCGTGCGGCAGGCTGGTGTTACTGGTGTTACAGGTGAGCAGGATGGGCTGACCCACCACCACCTCCAAGTGCGAGAGGTGCGCATCTTCGGTGCTCGCCGAGCAGTTCTCAAACATGTGTCTGTGTTTGAGGAACTTGATCAGGGACCGGGGCACGTTGTCAGATACCTTGCAGGTGTGTTCCTCAGAGAAATCTTTCACGGAGCTGAAACCTCGTTGATTCCAGCGCTGAAGCATCAGGTAGAGCGGGCAGCTGCACCTGATGGGGTTGTTGTGCAGGTACAAGCCATTGACGATGTTTTCGGGCAGAGCTGCCAGCACCTCCACGGGGATGCTGCTCAGGCTGTTGGAGGAGAGGTCCAGCGTGCGGAGCTTGTGGATTCCCAGCCCCTGCACAGCATGGAAGGGGAAGGTGGTCAGGTTGTTCCAGCTCAGGTAGACTTTCCGCAGATCACTCAGCTTGGCAAAGGCGTTTTCATCCACCCGCTTGATGTGGTTGTCATAGAGCAGCAGCTCCTCCAGGCTCACCAGCGCCTCGAAGTAGTGCCTCTCCACAGCTTGCAGGTGGTTGGAGGACATGTCCAGGTACCGCAGGAAGGAGGCATTGTGAAATGCCCTCGGAGAAAGGTCCCGAATCTGGTTGTGGCTGATGTGGAGGGCTTCGAGGTGCGGGAGGACGGCCAGCCAGTGGTCGTGGAGCTGGGTGAGGGCATTGTGGCTGAGGTCCAGCGTGCTGGTGGTGGGCGGCAGTGCCTGGGGCACCTGCTGCAGCATCTGCTGGCTGCAGCTCAGCAGGTCGGAGGTGCAGATGCAGGCGTTGGGGCAGCGGTGGGGCTGCGGGGAGGCTCGGGGCGTGCACAGCTGGAGCAGCAGCAGGAACAGCTTTGCCACCCGCGGCCAGACCGAATCCGCGGTCACCGGCGAGGACATTGTGGTGGGCAGGAACCTCTGTACAGCCCGGCGGCACAGCCAGGCTCGATGAGACGCGAGGAAAAATCTGCCGCCGTCTCTCGTCTCTCCCTTACTGCTGGCTTGGCTCTACCAAGCATTCACAGACGCCCCTTTGCACCCCGTGAAAGAGAATCCCGATTCCAGCCGTGGGGTTTGAAAAGATCTAAAGGACGGCATCGCCCTGCCCGGCTCTGCCGCGGCTCACCGAGGCTGCCTCGTACCTGTGCTGCCGGGGGCCGGGGGCTGCCGGGGGGTCGGGTGGGCGCCGGCGATCGGCATCAGGGGGCTGAGGCGCTCGGGCGCTCCGGGGCTGTGTGTCGGGCTGGGCGGGCGCCTCGCTGCCTCCTGGAGCTGCTCATCCCTGGAGTGCGAAGTTTCTCAGGGCTCGGCGCCTCCGGGGCACATCCGCACGCTGCGATCTCCGGGGAGCCTCGTCCGGCTCCTTGCCGGGCAGCATCTCCGGGAGCCGGGCGCGCTCCTGCCCCTATTTACGCGCGGGCGGTGCGCGGCGAGGGGGCCGGGCGGGATCCCATTGGCCCCGGCGCGGGGAGTGGTGGCCCTGGCCCGGTCCCTGTCCCCGTCCCTGGCCGTGGCCCTCCCTGCGGGTGGGCAGAGCGATGCGCAGCCAGCACCGACCCTGCGTGGTCGCTCGTCCCCAGGGGACCTGAGGACCACTTCGGCCGCACCGGTGTGCAGCCGCCGGAGAGCCGCGACCGGCCGTAATCCATAAAGCGGCTGCCCCGCCACTGCCCAGCCTCGGGCAGAATGCTGGAATAGACCCGTCACCTCTGGGAGCCCCTCCTGTCACATCCTGCAGCCAGGCTGCGAGTGGGGATGGCGGTCACCCCCCGGTGCTGCTTCTCTCCCAGCCGCGGTCCTTCCGGCTGCCCTAATCCTCATCACCCCACGAGCTGGGGACTCCCCAGCACCCCCGGCCCTGGGGTGAGCAGGGGGGCTGAGCCCGGTGGGGTCCCCGCGGCAGAGGGGATGCCGCGAGCTGCTGACGGGGAAGGGTGAAGGACACGCAGGAATGTCATTATCCAGAGCTCAGGCGGTTTAGTGGGAAGAGGAGAGCTGGGGAATTGTTTTCCATTAGGGCAGCAAAAAGCTAATTTGGCGGCTGCGGCTGCTGCGAGTCAAGGGGCTGTTAACCCCCTGCGCCCTGGCTCAGCCTGTGCTGACTGGCTGCTCCCTTGCTCCTCCTGCCACTGGGGCGGCTCTGCTTGCCCCTGGGCCAGCCACGGAGCCAGCTCTGCTCCTTGCCAGGGGCTGTTAGCAGGCCACGGCACTGGTGCCCGAGGGAGACACTCATTAAGGCGACCTTCATCTGTCCCGGCTGTGCCCACTGAAGCCAGGGAGGGCCACGACTCCTCCCTCCTGCCTTTTGGTGGGACCTGCTTGCCCTGAGCGCATCCTGAGCTGTCCTGTTGGTGCAGGAGGGCCCCAGCCCCTGGTGTGAGACTCTGCAGAGCATGTCCCCTGAGGTGCTGTGACCAAGGGCAGTGCTGGATGCTTCAGCCGCCCTGCAGCAGCCCCAGGCTCAGGCCCTGGCCCGAGGGCTGCAGCCTCAGCAAGTGCTGAAGCACCGCATCGATCCCCGGAGCCTCTGAGTCAGGGTGGCTCTTCGGCTGTATTTGAGGATGTTCCCCTGGACTGGGGGGACAGCAGCTGGGGGTGCTGGTGTGGGAGCACAGGGTGGGTTGTCTGAGGTCTGTGTTCCTTGGCAGGACCGAGCGTGCGACCGCGGTGCTGCTGGCAGATCCCTGCTTCCAGCTGCGCTCCATCCAGTACCTGCTGGGCCACGCCGAGCCCTCGGCCCTGGCAGCAGCCGCCCCGGCCACGGACAAGCGCCACTTCTCCCTGCACACCTGTAAGTGTTGGCACTGCACCGGGACCTGGGCTGTGCTCAGCACCCACCCACAGCCAGGGAGGGAGGAATGGGGCTGCTGGTGTCCGTGTCCTCCGCGACATCCCAGCCCTTTTAGTCTTGGGGACAGGTGTCTATGCCCTCCTCTACCACCCCAGGAGCAGCACTTTGGATGGGGATATATCCAGTGCCAGCCAGTAGTTTTGCTCTCCTCAGTGCCCAGTGCTCCCTGTCTTGGCTGGTCCGCAAGGGCAGCTGCAGCCTCTGTGCAGCAGCCTCAGGACAGCTGAGGGTCCCATTCACCCCACACACACCCAGTTTCCTCCCCAGACACAGAGTACATCAGTACTGAGGAGCTGGCAAAGGTGGAAAAGATGCTGAACCATCTGAGTGAGGAGTCCAAGCAGGCAGCTGCAACCACACTGGTGAGTCCTCCCCCTGCCCCAGCCCTGTCCCAGTCCTTGACAGAGGCCTGGGACACGGGACTTTGGATGCCACTGCTAACTCCTGGTAACCTCCACAGCCCACCAGCGAGGAAGACCTATGCCCCATCTGCTACGCACACCCCATCTCAGCCATCTTCAGGCCCTGCTCCCATAAGTCATGCAAGTGAGTAGCTCCCATGTCTGACCTCCACCAGGATGACTGCCAGCCCCTGACCCAGCCCTGTGCTGTGTGGGTGGGGGCTGATGCTCTTTCCTCCTCTGTCCCAGAGCCTGCATCAACCAGCACCTGATGAACAACAAGGACTGCTTCTTCTGTAAGGCCACCATCACAGGGGTGGACGACTTCACCAAGCCAGCCAGCTCATAGAGCCCAGCCCCACACCACAGGCTCCCCGAGCGGAGCGGGGCAGCCCCCCCGCCTCACACTGGCTTCTCCCCAAACGCTTGCCCTGCTCAGGGCTGTGGGACCCTCGTCCAAAGGGTCAGGACCCAGCGTGGGGCAGCAGTGTGAGGCGGGAGGGCTGCAGGGTGGGAAAGGCAGGTGCCCAGCAGCCTCTCTGCCCCGTGGGCCGTTCTCAGGGAGGGGAGCCCAAGGCCTCGGCTCTGTGGCAGTGCTGGGAACACATGGGAGCCCCGGGGCCAGGGCAGGGGTGCTGAGCTGGGCATTTGGGCTGTTAACTTGCCCCTGGCTGGGGGCTGACTTTATGAAAAGCAGCATTAAATTATTCTTCCTTATGTGGTACCCTGAATGATGGGAAAGGGAAGGCCCTGGTGTTGGGGCTGCACTCAGGTGATGCTTAACAGTAAATGGAAATATAAATATTTAATCCAAGGAGAGCTGGGAGCGCAGGGCCTGCTGGGGGCTGCTACATGATGATGCGTGGCTCTGGCACAGACTCGGCGATGGATTTGTGTGGCAGCACATTGGCCCCGTTGAGGTAGAGCTCGTCGTTGACGATGACATCCTCGCCCAGCACAGTCACGTTCTCCATGCGCACCTGCCCCAGAGAGGCCCTGTCACATCCCTGGGCTCGGGGCCCAGTGCCAGGCTCCTGCTCCTGCCTGCAGGGACCACATCCCTGCAGGCACAGCCCGAGGAGGTGAGAGGGCAAGAGCTGAGTCCTGATCCCCTGCGGGGGCACACATGTCCTCACCCACTGCCCCACGGAGCAGCTCCAGCCCACAATGCAGGATTCCAGCCAGGAATGGGAGCGGATGCGGGCCCCTTCCAGCACAGTGCAGCGTTTGATGCGCACCCCGTCCTCCACCACCACACCAGCCCCGATCGTCACGTTGGGGCCGATGACACAGTTTGCTCCAATCTTGGCACTGGGGTCCTGGAAGGAGGAGGGCCCATGCCAGGGTTGGAAGGGCAGACAGCTCTTGGCATAGCCCCTGCCACTTGGCCAGCCAGGGAAGAGGAGGGCACAGGTTGAGAATGGCAGTGAGGACAGTGGTGGAACAATGCAGAGAGCTCATGACGTGCCCAGGGCTGCTGTGCTGGGGGCTGGCACTTACCACCAGCACATTCCCTACGACACCAGGCCCCGAGTGCAGCTTCTCGGGGTGCTGAGCCCGTAGCGCTTGCAGGTACATGCACATGCCCGTAAGGAAATCCTTTGGCTGCCCAATGTCCATCCAGAAGCCTGTGGGGACAAAGCCACGGTGACAGCCCCCAGTGTGAGGGTGGCAGTGCAGGCAAGACCCCTGATGCTGCCTGCACTGTGCACAGGGCCTTACCCTGTAGCTCCATGGCGTAGAGCTGCCCATCCTGTGCCATGGCTGGGAAGATCTCCTTCTCAATGGAGGTGGGGCGCAGCTGCAAGAATGAGGTACGGGGCTGAGCAGGGGGCACAGGCCCTCAGCCTGGCCCAGCCTGGCACCCCGGCTCATACCTGGATGCGCTGCAGGATGCCAGGGTTAAATATGTAGAGGCCGGCATTGATCTTGTTGGACACAAAGACGCGCGGCTTCTCCACGAAGCGGCAGATGCGGCCGGTGTCGGCCTCGCACACCACCACACCGTACTTGGCTGGCTCCTCCACGCGGGTCACCACCAGGGAGCCCTCGCCGCCGTGCTGCCGGTGGAAACGGGCCAGCGCCGCGAAGGGGAACTCGCAGATCACGTCGCTGTTGAGGACAAAGAAGGGCTCCCCGTCCTCGGCCAGCAGGTCCCGCGCCAGCGCCAGCGGTCCCGCTGCGCGGCCGTGAGTGACGCCGCAGGGACGTGGTGAGCCCGGGTCCTGCTGGGCCCACCTCTGCCCGTCCCAGCATCGCTCCCAAGTCCCCAGTCCCTCTGGATCCTCACCCGGCCCGCTGTCCCTGGTCCTGCCCATGTCCATCCTAGCATACTCCTGATTCCCCTGCTCTTGCTGGCCCTACCCATCCATAGCCATGTTGCTACCCATGGTGTCCCACTCCCGGTGTCCCCCATCCCTACCCACCCTAATGTCCACGATGCCCCCCTCCCAGCGTCTCTAACCGTGCCGTATCCATCCCGGTGTTCCCCCCTAGCACCCACCCTGCTGTCCCTGGACTTCCTCCATCCCACCTGTGCCCGCCCTCCAGCCCCAGGCTCCTGCCGGAATCCTACCTGTGCCCAGCGGCTCCTTCTCGTGGGACATGGAGATGCGGATGCCGAGCTGCGGGCACAGGGTGAGCGGCGGGACAGACCGGGTAACGGGGGGAGGCGGGGGGAGGCGGAAGGGCCCTTACCCGTTGTTCCTGCTCCCGCATAGCGGCCTCCAGCGCGTCCGACATGTAGCTCACCGCCAGCACCACATGGCTGACGCCCGCCTGCGGGAGCGCGGGTCAGCCGGCGGCGGGGCGGTCCCCGCGCCCCCCGCGCCCCGCGCCCCCACCTGCCGGAGAGCTTCGAGCTGGTGGAGCAGCACCGCCTTGTTGCAGAACTCCACCAGCGGCTTC